AGGGACTATTACCTGTTATACCTCGGAGCCGTAAGAGCACCGTCCAACCCACCCTCACGTGGGCTCCATCCCCACACTCACCATGACTCCGTCACCAACATGGCCTCCACTCCCTCACTCTCAACAGGGCTAACACAGCTCACCTTCATCGTGGCTTCTATCCTCACACTCAACATGACCGTTACTTTACTCAACATGACCCTCATCTCCTCACACTCAACATGGCTTCCATCCGTGCACTTCACGTGACCTTCATCACCCCACACTCAATATCCTTTATTCCCTCTCAACATGGGTCTCATCGGCTCACATTCAAAATGGCTTCCACCTCCTCACTCAGAATGGCCATCCCCCTATTCAGGATGATCTTTATTCCCTCACTCTCAGCATGGTTCTTATCAGCTCACATTCACCTTAGCCTCTAATGTGGCTTTCATTTAACATAATCTTCATCAGCCCATGCTCAATATAACTTTCATCCCCTCCTTCTCAACATGGTTCTCATTAGCAAATATTCAACATGGCATCTACTCCTATACTCAGCATGACCATCTAGCACCCTCCCCAATATGACTTTCTTCCCCTCACACTCAACATGGCCTCCACTCCTTCGTACTCACAATGGCTTCTCTCCTCACACTCCACATGACCATCTCCCTATTCAATCCTCACACTCAATATGGCCTCCACCCTCACACTCCACATAGCTGTGCCCCTTGGCCATGGTGACCTCTGTCTCCTTCCATGCAGCATGGTATCTGCCCCCTCACACACACAGTGACCTCTGTCTCTTCAGCCACCACCAGCCTGTAAGTTTCCAACTGGGTATCACCTAGCACCACCCCCTTATGTTTGCTTTGGCCTCCCTCCCTCCTTCCGGCTCTTCTGTGTGCCCTCTTGTCCTCCAAGTCCCATATACTCTTCAAGGCCAGATGAGGCCCTTCTTCCTCAGGTCATCCCCAGCATCCTACCTTTGCTGCTGTGAGTCCCCAGGCATGTGGGGGCAGGACAGCCTGTGCCTCTGTTCTCTGCCTGGTGCTATTCCTTGGGTGTTTGCTGTTGGGCAGGACCTGGGCTTCTGTGCTCCTGGCCCATCGTCCCCAGAGCCCAGTGCAAGTTGGGTGTTTGCTGTTGGGCAGGACCTGGGCTTCTGTGCTCCTGGCCCATCGTCCCCAGAGCCCAACAGCTCTGCAGTTGGTGCTGGGCCAGTTTGGCTGGAGGTGGGTGTGAGGGGACCATCACAGGCCTTTAGTGCCCATCCTGACCAAGGCATGGCTTGGGCCGAGTGCCCAGTGGGCAGAAACTGGACTCCACAATGGGTGGGATCCCTCTGGGTGCCCCTTTGGGCCTCTTCCTGCATGCTCCCTGATGCCCCAGCTGGCTGAGCCATCTCTCCAGGGGCAGCATCAGGTGTGTGCCCTGGGCTGGCCAAGGGCCACTGGTCTCAGCCAGGACAGACACCTGTGGCTTTTGAGGGAAGGGCAGGCAGGCTGTCGAGCCCCACCTCCCTCTGTTGCACTCACACAGGGCCCCAGGGCCCCACCGTGTGAGCATCCAGCTGTGTGTGGCCTTATCAAACACTCTGGTGTGGGGCGGTACAGCAGGGACAGGTGGCCCTTCAGCCTCCTGCCTGCTCTCCAGTGCTGCTGAGGAAACCTAGCCTGAGACCCAGGACCTGGGTGGGGTGACCTGCAGTTCCAAGAGGGAAGCTGGGGGCCCTGGTGACCGCTGGGTGCTGGAAGCAAGCAGAGACTACAGGCTTATGTGGCTGCAGGGCCACCTGGCCAGCCCAGCACTCCTGGGGCCTGGGGGACAATCAGGCAAGGCCTGCACTTGGAGGCTGTGCATGCGAGCGGAGGGCACCCTGGGTCTCTGCTCTGGCTGGGGCACTGGCACGACCTGCTGCATCTGCCCCCACCGAGAGCCCTGCTACAGGAGGGAGTGAGCCGCACTCCTGTGGGGCTCCTGGGCCCTTGTAGAGCTGGTGGGCAGGGAAGTCCTGTCCTGGCCAGGCTGATCAGTACCACTGAGGCCCTACAAGGTTACCCCAGGTGGAGCTCTGCTCCACCAACCCTGAATGATTCACACACAGAACCTCATTCCTCAATGCATGGCTAGCAACAAGCTACATGTCCCAGATTGCTTTGTAATTAAGGTTGAGCACAGGACCAATTTTGCCAATGACAAATGGAATTGATGTGCAGCTTCTGGGCCCTCTCCTCAGAGGGGAGATACTGGCCATTCACCTTTTTCTCCCCTCTTCTCTGTGATTAGAGTGAAGTTGTGATGGCAGGGGCTAGAGCAGCCAAATTGGGTCATTAGAAAAGGGCAACATCCTAAGGACGGTGAGCAACCAGCAGGAAGGAAACTCTGTGGCTGATTCCTGTCACCAAGGGGAAGCCCTGTAAACCCTGAGTTGCAAAATACACGAAAGAGAAACACGCTTCTTCATTATGTTATTGAAGTCATTGTTATTTTGGTCTTCACTACATGAGTGGGACTCGTATTCCACCCAGGACAGAGGGACTGTAAAAGCCAGGAAGATCATGGGAGCTCTGGGAATTCTCCCAGACATCCCGATTTTCCTGTGTGTGCTTTCTTATCTGGAAGAGGCTTTCCTGGCTTGCAGGGTGAGGAGCAGCCCCGTTCCATGTGAAGGGCCCAGAGGCGAGAATCAAGACAGTTCTGGGAAAGAATCTGGCTCAGGGCCTGGCACTACTAAGCCCCCATCCTGCAGGAGGGTGAGGCTGAGGCTGCGGATTGGTTTCTCTTCGTCCCTGATAAGCACAACATTTTGATTAAACTACTGACAACTTCGCTGTAGGGCAGAGACATTCAGAAACATCGGGAAATCAAACTGTGACGCCTTAGAAGGAACGTGGTTTATGTGACGATGTGATGGAGTGGACGGGCTGCTCTGGACTCTGGAACCGCTCCACTTCTGGCTGCCCCTTCCCCAGGACGGCTTCCAGGCTGTGCCTCCTCCCTCCGCCAGAGCTCCGCCCACACCACCTCGGACACCCTGGCCGGGTTTCCCTGTGTGGGGACGGGGACTTCCATGGGCCAAGGGCCGCGATCGGGAGGAGCCACTGCAAACAACAGCAGAGGAAAAGACCACAGGTCCAGGGAGGACAGGGTGAAGAGTCCTCTCTTTCACTGAAGATGACTCTGGGGCTCAGCACTGCCCCCAGCAGTGACACTGAGGGCTTGACAGGTGACAGGGGCACCTGGACTCCGGCCACCCTTTCAATGCAAGAGTCTTCCTCCAGGCCCTTATTTTGGAAGCAGTGACCGATCACCCAGAAGAAGGTCCCGGGCATCGTCCTTCCCCTGGCAGCTTCTCCAGGTGACCCTGAAGCCCTCAAGTGACTCCACCTCCCCGGAAATGAGACAAGACTTCCTCCCAGCAGCCTAGAGGCTGGGACCATCGAGCCCCACTGATCTGGTTGGAAGCTGCTCTACTTGGGGCAGAGGCCACTGGAGTCTTTCTGCAGTAGGGGGACTGGAGTTCAGAGAGGGTGAGCAGTTGGCCCAGGGTACACAGCAAGGCAGCCTCACAGCCAGGATAAGCACCCACCAACCACCTCCTGACTCACAACTCTGGCTCCTCCCACTGCTCTGGCTGGGTCCTTGCTGTGGCCCAGCTGGGGCCCCGCCCAAAAGGAAGGGGAGCAGGTGTGGAGGGTGGGAGAATCCAGTGTCCAGTGCTGATCTACGCCCCTCGGTGCCACCTGCACAGGCACAGTCAGATGCAGACTCTGACCCAGGGCCACTGGTGGCCTCAGCCCACAGGACCTGGACCCCGGAGGCTTTGCTGCTCCGGCCCCTGGGGGACAGCCAGAGCAGCCCCTCTCTGCTCAGATTGGGCAGGCTGGGCAGTGCAGGGAACAGGTGGGGGGACTTGGCCCCAGCACTTCCTCAGCTTCCAGATGCTCTTCAGAGCTCGGGGAAGTCAGGGGGGTAGATTTCTGTCTGCCGTCTCCCCTGGGAGGTCCACATAGGGGAGTGAGGGGCCCCTATGACAAGAGGGGACACAGGCTGAGCCTTGGAGGGTGAAGTGGGAGTGCCCCAGTGAGGAAGAGACAGGAAGGTGTGACCAGGAGCGGGACCTGGGGAGGAGGGGGGGCGCCCCACGCCCCCCCACCCAGGAGTAGACCGGGAGGTCCCGGCCTCCAGTGAGGAAGAAGTGCACAGAGTCTCAGTGAAGAGTGTGGGGCCGGGAGGAGGGTAGGAGAGGAAGCGCCATCCCTGGTGCAGCCCGGAAGAAGCCTCTTTCCCATCACAGCCCCGATGGGGGCAGATCCCCCGATCTGAGCCTGGAGGACTCTCAGGATTAGCTGGTCACCACAGGTCCCCAGGAAGGGACATTCCAGCAGCCCCCTGTCTGTGGTGCCTGACAGTGGAAGCTTCTTTGCGGCCAGCTCCAAGGGTGGCCCTGGCCCCAGCCGACCCGCGGAGCTGCTCTTGGGTCCTGATGGTGACAGCCTGTGTCCCGATATTTCTGTGCTCATGGCCCCTGTCCAGAACTAGACAAGCCCCGTGCTCTCCTGAGGTCAGGCCGACCTGGGGTTGTTCTGCCCGGGTGTCAGGGTGCAGGAGAGGACTCCGAAGGGTCCCCACTGTGCCATGGAAACAGGGACTGGCTGAGCCTCAGCGGCCTGAACCCATGTGCTGTTCTGCACTGGTGATTTGCACCTGACAGATGCTTCAGAAAGCATCACTTTGCTGACAAAAGGAAACGCAGCTCAATTACCATCAACGCTCAACACCCAGCCGGAGTAGGGAGGCCCCAGGGTCTGGAAGCTGGGGCCAGAGCCTGTGTAGGAGCCGAGGGGAGGCAGCACACTGCAGGACACACCTCTGGCCCAGCCTGGCTCTGCTCCCCGCCCCTCTCCTGACTGTCTTCGTTGCTCTGAACCTCATTTTCTCTGTCTGCCACTCCCAGGCCCCCGAAGCCGCTGGGACCTCTCTGGCTGGGCCCGGCCCCCGAGGGTACTCACACATGGGTTTCAGCTGCCCGATGAGCTCTTCCTTCGTCCATTTCGCCCACTCCTTCTTGTCGGTGTTGATGGAGCAGAGGATGGGGCCGCAGGGCTTGCCACAGTCCTCGATGGCCGGCACGTTCAGGTAGTGCACCAGGACGATGTCGGGATTCTGGGGGGACAGCAAGAGGTGGCAGCGTGAAGGTGTGCCCGACCCACAGGTGTAGCAGAGACGGAGTCCCAGGCCAGGCTCAGGCGATCGCAGCGCTCTGACCCTGTCCCTGACACAGGGCTGGGCGTTCTTGTCACGAAGTGTCCCTGCTCCTGGGGGCTGCGGCCCCACCTGCACCTGGCACCTCCCCTGCACAATCAGGCACTCGTGCCTTCCACTGATGCCTCGCCCGGGGGCAGGGGCAGCCAGAGTCCTGGAAACTGCATCGCAATGGACAGGACTCCTGCCTGATGACCTTGAGCTCACAGTCTGTCCCCAAGTCATTCCAGTTCAATGGCCACCTAGTCCCATCAGATTCAAACCAACACATCCTCCATACCTCTCTGCCCCCACTCGCTCTGATAGTGCGTCAGGGGCCTCTGGGGGGTGGCAGCTACGCCAGAATGAATGTGGGGTCTTTGGGGACCTTTGCGAGACCCTGGAAGGTGGGGTTCGGCCCCGTCAGGTCTGACAAACGTGTTAAAAGCAATCACTTCCCCATGCAGAGGCAACTGGGTGACCCCTCTACACTCTCCTACCAATCGGAGGGCACTCTGGGGCCGTGAGGCCACAGCGATTGCTACTTAGTGAGTTCCAAGCCTGCCTGAAATCGTTCTAAGAAAACAGATGACAGTGAATCAAGACATCGCAGGGGACGAGGGCAAAAGCCTGCGGTGGCCCCTTCTGTGCCAATGTCCAGACCCTTCTTCTCTGCCATGTAATCAGAGCCCTGGGGTGGGCGGGGCCAGCTGAGTATCTGTCCACTTTTTTGGATAGGTCAGAGCAAGAGAGAAGTACATGAATATATGAATCAATCAGCTCATTAATAAATAAAGACCCAGGACAACACCATGGCTGGTGTAAGAAAGTAGCCTGGCATAATTTTAAAAGATTTGCAATGAGGGTTGAGACACAGTTTTTTGTTTCTTTGTTTTTTTTCTTGCCAACGCTCAGTTAACCAGGAAATTAAATCAACGAGAACAGGAGCCTTTTGTTAATGGCAGCTTTTCTGGATTGCGGTACGCAGGCTCCTTAATAAGAATGATAATCCCTGACATCCACGTGGCAGTTTATTCCTTTCAAAGCACTTTCCAGCCATTATCTTATTTGGTGCCCATGCTAGCCAGGGAGGTCGGCTGGGCAGGGCAGGGTACCCTCCGTCTGGAGCCTGCAGCGTGTCCGGCCCGCAGCACTGAGCCTGGCCAGGGACGAGGCCTGGGCCGGGTGCCAGGGCTCCGGCTCTGAATCCAGGCCTCGCCGAGGCATCTGGTGGCCTCCTTTCCCTGGGCCCTGGTGGCTCCCCACCTCCCATTTCACTTCATTTTGCCCGTGTGCCCAGGGCGCAGGTGGGCTGGGGTCACGGGGAGACAGGTGATCCCCGGAGTCCTGTGGGCCCTTCCCACCCTGGCCTCGGGGACTTCCTGCCTGAGTCTAAGCCTAGCCAGGGGGCAGCACCAGCTGCTGGGTGAACAGAGTAAGGATCAAAGGCTTGCAGGGACCAGTGGGCACCCCGGGGCTTCTTCTGATCCTGGTCCCCAGAGCAGGTGCCCAGCCCTGCAGGAGGAGCTGTTCCTGTCTGGGAGGGGAGAGGCCTGGGCCTAGGATGGCTGCAGGAGGCCGAGGGGAAGCACAGGCCGGGGCTTATGGAGTGGAGGCTTTAACTCTCCCTACCTGAAGTCCCCAGAGGGCCGGTGTTTGTGGGAGCTCTGAGGTCTGCCTGCTGGGCCCAGGCCCATGTGTGTAACCAGCCTCTACCTGTTCTTTGAGGGTAGGACCAGGATGCCACCTCCTCCAGGAAGCCTGCTCTTATGCCTGCCCTCCTCCCTCCCGGGCAGGAAGGCATAAACCTTCGTCTTTGTGGTCTGCCCATCTGCTTCAGCTCAGTCAGATGTCACACTGTCTGCCAATAATGTTCTTATTTCAGGCTGAGTTACGACCTCCCATTGTCCCCCCTCTCAGACTCAGCATCCAGGAAGGGCAGAAAAGTGGTTCAGGACACAGGCCCTTCCTGGGAGGCAGAGAGGCAAGGCTGTTTCTTCTCCTTCTCTGGGTCTGACACAGGCTGTGGGTACCTGAGGCTGCCCCTGAAAGCCCTGCAGCACGTCAGCCCTCTGCCGTGGGGTTCACGGATGCAGGGGCTGGTAGACCCCATGTCAGTAACCAACGACTTTCAGATTCTAGATCTGTTCCTTCCCAGTCGACACGAGCCTGGCACAGGTCCCTCGGGGTGCGGGGGCTTCCCTTTTTCAGGTGCTTTGCGGCTGTGATCAGGAGACTGGGTCTGGGGTCCTGAGATGGGGAAGCAGGTATGCTGTCACCCCGATTGTACCCACAAGTCCCTGCCCTGGGATCCCCTAGTAGAACTTTCAGTGCTGACTTCCGGGCCAGGGGCTGGCTAGGAGATAGTGATGGAGGTCATTTTAGAAATTTGGGGCACACTTCACTTCTTGGCAGCACTGTGGTTTTATGCATTAGCCTAAACTTTGTGGGGCGTGTTTGCAGGGAAATATGTTTGCTTTTGGAGCCCTCGTCATCGGATCCATGAAGTGCTCAATGCAGTGTCAGAGCCAATGTGGGGTGGGCTGAGTAAGCTCAAAACCCAGTGGAATTTTCCCAAAGATGCTAAAATGAGCAAGAGCTGTGAAAGCAACCCTCCCCAATGTTCTGGAGTTTGGTGGTGTCGAAGGCCAGAGAGGGGAGCCTATGGGGTGGTCGGCAGTGCTGCTGATTCTTGGGGAAGCCAAGACAAGTCAGAGTCTCAGAGATGTTCCAGAACCTTCTGAAAGAGACTGGGCTGGGAGATTCCCATCCCTGCCTGTTTTATAAAGGGAAACAAGGCAGGGCCTTGGAGAGGTTCCGGGCACCGTGTGGACATCCAGAGCCCTCCTGGGATCATCACCAAGCACTACCTGAACCAACAAGACCAAACCAAACTTCTTCCTGAGAAAACGGCGGGGGTCAGCGTCTAGCAGGCAGCTTAAAACCACTCATACCAACTGCTAGTGGCCCTGTGTGACCCCTACCCTTGGGTCTCTCTCGCTCTCCCTGTCTCCGCCACCTTGGGGACCTCACCCAGCCTCCTGGCCACAAGCCCACCAGGCGTCTCTCTCCAGCCCCAGCACTCAGCTCCTCTGGGAGCCCCGAAACACCCTCACTTCCCTTGGGCTGAGCATGACTCCTATTCACACACCCGGTGGTACCAGGCTGTGCCCAGGGAGGGATGTGCCGTCTTGTCGTCTGTCCAGATCTGAAAGCCAGCCCATCACGGGGTCCTGTCACTTCTCCCTCATGAGCCAGCCTGGTCACCCGTGGGCCCTGCAGGCCTGGGACTGGCTGACCCTCCATCGGTGGGAACAAAGCCCCTCCCCTAGTCTCCGCACTCCTCGCCTGGCCTTGTCCTTCTTGCTGACACCGGCAGGTGTTACCTGGAAATTCAGTTGTGGTTCTTCACCCTGAGAATAAAACCTACGTTCCTGTCCAGTTTGAGGGACAAGCTTTTGTCCCTGGCCAATGGCTCTGCCTTGTCACCACAGGTTGTGTGGCCTCCCTGGGGAACACCTATTTGGGGACGCCATAACCATGGTGCCCACCTGGCCGGACTCTGGCCCTGCTGTCTCTGAACCCCTGCTTTCTCCTGGCGCTAACCTCTTGGGTTCTGCCCAATCCGGGTTGCTGTAGGCTGGGGGAAGGGGGTGATGCCGAGCTGCCCCTGGGGCGCTGACCTCACTGTGGGCAGCTGTGTCCTTCCACTGCCCAGCATCCTCAGAGGGAGGCAGGGATGCCTTTCCTACACTGCACTGCTCACCTGACCCTCATCAACCAAGGAAGCCGCGAGATCAAGCCGAGGACCTGCCCTCCAAAGGCACAGGTGAGGTTGAGAAGGACAGCGGCCCCTTGCTGGCCTAAGGCTCTGGATAGCCCCTTCCAACCCAGAATCTGCCTTCAGCTGCCCACTGCCCCTATTTGTTGGGAAAGCCAGTGGCAGGGCACACAAAGGAAAGGGGGTGGCAGCCACATTTGGCAGGGGTGGCACAGGGCACAGGGACTGGGGTGTGCGGGTGTCCTGGCCCTGGAGAGCTCTCAGGGTGCAGCCTGTCACAAGCTCTTCAGTCCTTGAGAGGCCCTGGCAGAGCTCCGCCCTGGCAGCAGTTGATCTCACCGGCCTGACCCCTGCTTTTCAGGCCGCAGGAGACTTGTTCTGCTCCCATTTGCTGCATTGGGAAGGAAAAGGGTTTGGAGCGGATCTGGCCCCGGCCAGCACTCCCACTCAAGGCCACGTTGCCTAGGAGATGGGTTCTGAGTAACCTGTCACAGACAACATGGGTGAGGGAGGCATCCAGTGTGTAGGGGGAGCAGATCCCTGGCCCCTGCAAGCTGAGCCCACCCCAGGGTGTGTAACCCCAAGGTCCTGGGGGCAGTTGGGGTGCAGCAGCAGGCTCATCATCACCAACTCAACGAGGGACTCATTCCTATAATCCCAGCACTCTGGGAGGCTGAGGCAGGAGAATGGCAAGTTCAAACCCAGTTTGAGTGATTTAACCACTTAGCTAGATCCCGTTTCAATTCTTTTTTTTTAGAAAAGGGCTAGGGATGTAGCTCAGTTCAAAGGCCCTGGTTTCCATTCCCAGTAAGGCCAAAAAAGAAAAAAGAAAAAAAGAAGGGGAAGGAGGGACTCAAGTCACCCAGAAGAAGAGCCCTAGGGTGCTCACAGTCTTCTCTTGGCCACTTCTGGTGGGTGCTGGGTGGCTGGACCCCAGATGTGGGTCCCACGGCCGGGCCCAGCTCCTGGGTGCCAGCTGGGAGGAGGAGGCCCTGAGCAGCACCCTTTCTGCGGAGCAAGCAGGACAGTAATGCAAAAAGTGGTTAAAAATGCAAAAAGCTGTTGGTTTTGATAAAGAAAAATGCAGCTGCAACATCTGTTTGACTCTTGTTTCCAGCTTCATCAGCGCTAAGTGGTCGAT